ACACACACACACACACACACTCACACACACACACACACACACACACACTCACTCACTCTCACACACAAACACACACACACACACACACACACACACACACACACACAAACAAACACACACACACCTGTCCCAACTCCTCATTGAGGTCTGATGTGTTGACTTGAGCCTTCTGGTCGCTCTCTTCATGGTACAGGTCCAAGTCCCAGCCAATGAAAAAAGAGCCCAGAAACTTCTGCAGCTCAACGGTCACGTACAGCGAGATAGGGATTATGAAGTTGTACAACACCAGGAAAGCCAGGAAGTCAGAAATAAACTTCAAAATCTGCAAGGAGAAAATCACCAGCGGTCTTAACGAATCCTACTAGTTTTTGGGCCATCAAAGAGCCACCAGGTGTCACACAGTATGACTTTTAAATGTAAAATAACCGAGTGTAGAGACTTTATAGTAACCTGACTGCTGTTTCTCTCCTGATCGGTCTTCTGATTGTAAAATGGCTCGTCCCACTTGTTCTCTGCCTGCCAGGCGTACTTCAAAATGGTGCTGAGGATGGCTTCAAACAGCAGAATGCCCAAGTAAATGATGAGAAATGTATTCATGGATCTGCACGAGAGACGAGAGAGATGATATGGTAAAATGAGAAGGAAACAGTGGAAATGGAAATGACGAAACACATACTTCTCTACTGCAGAGCGTTTCTGGGATTTGCACTTGTAGTTCAGAGCCATCTTGGACTCCATGCCCGTATATACCGCCACACCTGCATGACGCAACACCAGTTATACTCGAACCATCACAACATTTTGATGAACCATTAAAAACACAAACTTTTTTGGGAGTAAAGTGCAGTCATAAGTTGCGAGACAAGTTAATAAGTAAATAAGGTCCATTTTGAATTCATATTGATTTCAAAAGTTCTAAGTTGGACTTTAAAAAATGGTGTGAATGCCGTACCAAAGATTTCTTTGGTGTTTTTTAATCTTGCTCCTCGAAGCAGGAGGTTCTCTGGTCCTAAGGGTCTAAAAAGAATAACCAAAAAATATAAATAAACAAATAAATAAATGTAAAAATACACAAATACTTAAACATAAAGGGCCAGATTTAATTCCAAAACAGCGCCGATGGGAGGGGAAAATTCTGCGAGTGATTTACTAACAATGCACACATTAAAGAACACAGACGCATCCAGATCATTTCCATAATGACCAGCGCAGTCTCCCAAGCGCAGCGCAAATGTTTTTTTTTGGGCATTAAATAATGGCGCAAATACCAGTAATTTGACGAGCGCAAACATTAGTAAATCACGTTGTGTGATTAATTTAAATACTCTCCTTCCATAAATTTTGCGTCTGAAAGGGAAACTCCTACAAATGCATATTCAATGGTCAAGTGCAAAAATAATTGTGTCCACGCCTTTTCAGCACTAATTCGTCACTGCGCGTAAATCCTGACAGTACTATTTTAACGCCAAAAGACGGCGTAAAAATAATTGTCCACGCCTTTTCAGCACTAATTCGTCACTGTGCGTAAATCCTGACAGTACTATTTTAACGCCAAAAGACGGTTTGCGTCTATATATATATAGATAGATAGATAGATAGATAGATAGATAGTCAAAACTATATTAATCTCAGATTTGAAGCTGGTCTTACCTGACTATCTCCTCTCCTTGTTGGGTTACTGTTATTCTTCCGACAAACCTGAGAAGAGAGAACGTGCTGCGTCAGGACTTACAGAACTGATAATAGCATCAAATCGACTGTGTTTGAGCAGCATTGTAAAGCAGTGTGTGAGGAGGATTTGGGTGGATCTGATTCTGTAAGGTACCTGTATAAGTCTGCCTCGGGCTGCTGGCACTCCACCACCGCCTGCAGAGACTCCAGCCGCGACACCGACTGTGACACCGCCGTTTCTGGCACCGAATAGTGCGTCTGCACATCAGCAGAGAGAACACATTCAGTGTTACAGTCTGATACTTCTCACTTCTTTCTTAATAGCACATTACTCATTGCTTAGTAAAACACTGTATAGACAGCAGACACATATCTGCTTGTCAAATAAACTAAGATATCTGGATATTCAATTATTTTTACTAAGATATCTCATATTAGCCAGACACGAACAGAGAATGTGTGTTTGTTTTTTCATCGAGCAGTATTTGTGAAGTGGTAAAACATTGGGGGTGAGCGATAAGCAAATATCTATTTGACAAAATGGGGGGAAAAAAATGGAAACCTAAAAAAAAAAACGTTGCTGTGCAACATGGTGACGAAAACTTATCGTTTGCATGCGTTTCAAGCATTGCGGTTTAAAACCAAGGGATTTTAAGCTGCTGAAATGCAATCAGTGGCGAAGGAGAACTCATTTCACTAGAGACTGTTTCTCAGTGCTTGAAAGGTAAAATAAACACTTGTATGGGTCAAAATGCCCATCTTTGCAACTATCCATGTAAACACAGTAATTTAAGTCTTAAGTGAAAGCAAACGGCTGAGAAAGAAAACACATGTAACAGTATATTGGATCCGGGCAGCTCTTAAAGTGACAGCAGTCTAATATTCGTGCTTTCTGGCATTCATGTTAATCAAACAACAAAAGAGAAAAAATCTCTAACTGCTCTTGACTAAATCACTTTTGTTACTTTAGTAAGAAGAAAAATAAATTTAATTTACACAGTGAAGAATATGCAATGTTTTTATTCATTTGATTACTTTATACAATGTATGTAGCATTTCTTATTTGTTCTACTGTCGTTTTTTTCTGCCATATTGTTTGTAATTTTTAATATTGCTTTTAATATTAGTTTCTTATTCTTATTTAATCATTGACTGTTTACTTGTATTCAGTGAGCTAGTTTTTTTTTTTAATTTAGGCTAGAATTAGTTTGTGACATTTACACTGGTGACAATAATTATTAAATTTCTATGGTATCAAGAATTTATATCATAAAGACCTTATTTAAAATAACTATATTGTGATATACTGCATATCGTTACTGTGAAATAAAATTACTCATATCGTGAAATTTTAAATTTAAAATTATCGTGGGATTTTGGTCCCATCGCCCACCCCTAATCATAAATGATAATTTCCAAAAGAATGGTAGACCACAAATATGATAAACACTTTTTTATTATTATTTAAATAGTCACAAACATTGCAATGAAACACCTTAATAAATAACTACAGTACAAGGAGAAAATTATATAAAGAAACTAAAAAAATCTCAAAATACTATTTTAGAAAGAATCTCTAAGTAATACATCTCCAAGTAATAAATCTCTTAATAATAGATCTGTAAAACTATTTTGACCAAACTGAATGATGTCTAAATGACCTTTAAACAAACAAACAAACCGTTTCATCTATTTATTAAGATGCATTTATCATTGTTCTGCAATTTCTGAGGGTGAAATCCAGTCATTTTAATAAGAATGCACACAATTGTGAATTTCACATGAGGGCGAAAAATTCTCACACATACTTGGCAACTGGCTTTCACACTGATTCACCGCACTGACCAACAGAAAGCTGTTTGGTTTAAAACTGACTTCTGTGTGAGCTACACTAATGCCAATATGCAATGGACATTTTTTTTTACCCGAAAATTTGCTGAAATTTCTATTTAATTGATCTATTTAAAATAATTATTTATTTCATTTGGCAATCTTTTTAATACAACGTTTTTTTTTTTTTTTCATTTTAGAAACAAGCGTTTTCTTAAATTTTAAAGCTTCTCATCACAAGATTTGGACAGCCTTTCCTGACATACTGAAAATCTTTTTGACGACTCTATTTATATACTCGATATTAAAGCATGGCTAATCCAGACATTACTCAGCATTTCTTGAGGTAATTCACTCAGTGTGATTGCTTCTCGCTGCATGTTTGTCACAAGCTCAGGGAGGTAAAAGTGACAGCAGAGCTTAGTGGAGGACCAGTTCGACAAAACCAGTCAGAAAATACACTCAAGAGTTTAGTTCCACAAGCCTTCAGTACACAAAAAAAAATGCTTCGAGATGGGCGTCGCTGAAAGTAACAACAACTTTGGTGAGTCACATGTTTATTCAGTAACCACTCTGATAAATTCAGTAAGATGCTATTGTTTATGAGCAGAAAACACAGACCTTCAGGTTAGTCTCTCCGTCTAGGCTGGCAGTGGTGATGTGGCACGTCCCCTCGGCCCGATCTGATGATAAGAGCACCAGATCTGCAGGAAACGTCTCATCTTTGGCTACTCTCACAATATCACCCACCTACGAGAACACAGGAGGAACATCAACCCACGTGACATGACAAGGATGTCTGAATTGCTGAAACAGCACATCCTAAAGTCACCGTGTTTATTAACATGACTGTAGGGATATGGAAGCGTTTCTAATATTTGAAAGCATCTGTTGTTGTTAGTCTGGCATGATTAGCAATGGGATCCCGGTGCTGTTGGCTGAAACTCACTCTGATATTCTTGGATCGGGTTTGGACCAGACTGCCGCTGCGCACGACAAACACAGGTGCTCCGTTCACTTCATTGTCAGCTTTGTGCCGCAGCCAGTCTTCATATCCCTGTATTTGTGAGTGGGATTATGACAAACAGACCACTAATCGGTTATCCTGCAATCAAACAGGCACAACACTGCGTACACGTCATGATCCGTGAACATGAGCTGCCAAAACACGCTTGTACGCTCACCTGTTTGATGGCAGTTACTGTGATGACAAAAAACAGGGGAAGTCCACTAGTTATAGGGGAAGTGGGTGTGTCTATCATTAACTGTAAGGGAGAAAGAGGATCTGGTTAGAAACAGGGCAGACCTGTAGTATGTGGTGTCACATACTGCCTTTACCCTCCACGGACATATATCACCTTTGAGAGAACAAGGTTTAACATTTGAGCTGTACACTCTCAGAAAAAAGCTCTAAAGCTGCCACTGGGGCAGTAGCATTTCAAAAGGGATAGTTCACCCAAAAATGAAAATTCTGTCATTAATTACTCACCCTCATGTCGTTCTAAACCCAGTCGTTCTAAACGTCCAGAAACGTAGCAAGGTTTCCTTGCTACGTTTCTGAGCCTTGATCGTGTAAGGATCCTTGCTCTCTATGGGAGGATCAGAGATCTCTCAGATTTCATCAAAAATATCTTAATTTGTGGTCCGAAGATGAATGGAGTTCTTATGGGTTTAGAACGACATGAGGGTGAGTAATTAATGACAGAATTTTCATTTTTAGGTGAACTATCCCTTTAATTTACCCCAAAGGGGGTGTATACAAGTACCTTAATGGTACATATTTGTACCTTTCAATAAAGGCACTGCCCCATTGACAGCTTTTGTACCTTTTTTCTGAGAGTACGATCTATTATAAATTCACACAATATTTGTATACCCGCCAATTTATAAAGTTTAAATATGGATATTTTTCTTGCACAAACGCATCAATTCACTTCAGAAGGCCTTTATTAAGCCCCCCGAGCTGTGTGGAGCACTTTTTATGATGGATGGATGTACTTTTCTGCTTCAAAATCTCGAGCACCACTCACTGCTATTATAAAGCTTGGAAGAGACAGGGCATTTTTTAATATAATTCTGATTGTATTGGTCTAAAAGAAGAAAGCCGAATACACCTAGGATGGCTTGAGGGTGAGTAAATCATGGGGTAATTTTCATTTTAGGGTGAACTATCCCTTTAAAGGTGCGGTCACATGTTCCATAGTTCTGCAAATTTCCCCATGCAAAATCCAGTCGTTTCAGTAGGAATCCATGCAATTGAGAGTGAATTCAGAGCATAATATAATGTGTTACTTCAGGCAAGCATGATTTCATGCTCACATGACTATCAGTTGGATGACACATCACCAGCAATATGTGGACATTGTTTGTTGTACTTTAACAACCAAGGTGTTTGTAGTGGACAATCTTTACTTACAGGAACCGTTTCCCAACACTGATGTTGCTGAACCTGTATTATTTTTCCAAGCCAAGGATTACGGAGCTAAAATAGTCTCAAAATATATTTACAAAATATGATCCACAAATGCCTAAGCTAATTTACATGACCAGAAAGTTGACATATTTGCAGACAGCAATTCTCAAACTCATTACCTCAATCATATTCACTAAATATTGTGAATGTGAATTAGATTACGAGTTTGTGAACTGCTGTTTCAAATGCGAATGTGAATTAGCCTACACATTCCTTTTCAGAATTCATTTTGAGACTAATTTCGGTCTCAAAGTACATTAGCTCTGCTGTGTCGTCACACAAGGAACAAGAAACACAAGGACGATCTGGGCTTACCTGAACCAAGAAGATAATGAGAAAATAAAAATTGGCGATTCTTCTGAACTGCTCAAACAAATTCTTGGGGATGAAGTTCCATATGGTGTACTACAAAGAGAAAGCAAAACAGCGTGGAGGATTTTACTGCCAAATTCTCAACAGGAGCAGGGAAACACATGCACACGTGAGTCAAATGATTGCAGATCTTTTTTTTTTTTTTGACCTTTTCACATTCAAGCTTTCAGAAGAATCTGCTCCTACCTTGGAGGAAATGATCCTGTTGTCTGAAAACCTCTGAGGAATATAATGGCCATGCTGTGGGAACTTGTTTGCTATGTAAACTGTGCGTGTGTCACTCTGATGGGGAGGGTCGAAGCCCTAGAAAAGATGAGGAGAGACGGGTCAGTCAGTGTGACAGACAGACAGGCCAGAGACATCAACAACTGCTATTTAATATTTCACCTACAGCAATAGATAATATCATACTAGCTATTGGTGAAACAGTGACAGAATCTTAAAGCTTATGGAAAACAGTACGCTGAAGAAGCCGAGAGACTGATGGGAAGGCATAACACTCTGCCAAAGTCATTATTAATTCAGTTAGTGTGCAGCAAACGATTCATTACGGGAGGCACTTCCACAGTACATGAGAGCTAAATCACTTACTATTGAACTCCTATTGCTTTCTGACTTTCTTTTTGGTCTGCGGGCCAGACGCACATACTGTATGTGACTGAGTGCGTGATCAGAAGCCAGATATTGCGATATTTGACGATATGGCCAAAAAAACTATCCCGGTAAAACTTTTCATATCAGTCGATATCGATAATCATCACGATACATTTCAAATCTTGGATTGGAAAATTCAAGATTGAAAAGCCTTCTGACTGTACCTTTGCGCAGTGTTTCTGCTGTTTGTCAGCGCTGTTTTATCTGGCTTTAAACTAGTTTAAATCACAGAGTCATTTGTGTTCTGCACTGAATTCAAGCGCTTCACACTGGATATCCCAGCGCTGTTTAGTGCCACGTGACCGAGACTCATCAGTGTGTAAACGCATCTGCTCTAGCTAAGCTTGCGCTGCCATTTAAACGGTCCGCATGGCGCTCTTCAAATAACTACTGCTGTTTCGTTGCGCTTTTGCCACATAAACATTATATCGAACATAATCGAATTCTTGTTATCGTTTTATCGAGGAAAATTATCTCACGATAATTATCGTTCTCATTTTATCACCCAGCCCCATTTTTAAGAAAGGTTTCTTAAGATAAATTATCTTTGTAAGAATGTTCCTGATTGCAATTCTTGCCAAATTTTTAGGGTGCCAAATATTTTCTTAATAACAAAAAGAAAAAAACAGCTTTTGGCATTATCTGACTGTATGCTGGTTCTCGTCGAAGACTCGCTGATCAACTCAATGGAAAAACATCGCAAATATCATATTTAGCAGATTACCATAATAATCACAAGCATGCATGAAGGCTATTTTCTGGCTTGACTGGAGTTCAGCACTCGGTGCAGTGTATTTTAAATGGTCACTTTAGATGTTTAGATGTCTACATCTAGAGACAGGCTCTTTAATTCACCATGATTGTTTACATTATCAATAGTATATAATGTTATGATTCTTGACATCTGAAACAACCCAATAAATGAACATCTGACCTTTAGGGATTCAAGGCAAGTTGGAGGTTTTCTTAACTTTAAGCGGATATTTATGATGATTTTTAAAAACATTAATTTCAGGAATTCAATTTTTGCTAAAGTTTTGTCTTCAGAAAATCTAAAAATCCAGTCATTTCAATAGAAATACACACAACAGAGTTTTGCATGACGTGAGGGCCGAAAAGTTCCCCACACAGATTCCGCTCATGTTCAAGTTGGTCGCAGTGTTGACCAACAGGAAGAAGCTTGGTTTGAAAGTGACTTCCATGTGAACTGTACTTCATACATCACTACTGACAGTAGAAAAAGGACCTCTTTAAAATTAATATTTAAAGTTAGAAAAAAAAAAACTAGCAGTTAAGAATAATTTCATTCTTAAGAATCCTTTGTAAATCCAGTCCCACATTCCTGTATCGGTTGAATTTCCTCACACTTAACAACATGTAATGGCTTTGGTTTGTGGAACATGTGATGGCTCTTTGCATAGACACAAACTCTCAGTCAGCCTAGTGCTTTATGCAAATGTTTCTGCAGCAGCACACTGGAAATATTCTCTGAACCCTGAGTCTCTGACAGATGGTGTCTGTGCTGAGTGTCTTCCATTGACTCCTGCCCAGAGGAGGCTGGGAAATCTCCTTCCTGTATGTTACACTGCCACATCACCCGACCCCATTGGCAACACATGCGTTCAATTACAGTCTGAATCTTTTGACTGAACCTTTGTGTGTTTCCATCCCATTTCCCCTCTGCACTTTCCAAGAGTAAGATGCTGGAACACATTCTGTGTGCCAACATGAACATCTTGTGCTGCTTTTTCAAAACTGATGCATGTATGCAGGGCCGACCTTAGGGGGGTGCAACTGGTGTGGTCGCACCGGGCCCCGCGCTTGAGGGGGCCCCGCGGTGAACGGACTATATAATCACCAGTCATTTCTGTTGTGTGTTGTGTTATTGAGAAAATAGTGCAAAGCACACATATCTGGTGTGGTCGCCCCGCGCTTGAGGGGGCCCCGCGGTGAACGTACTATATAATCACCAGTCATTTGTGTTGTGTGTTGTGTTATTGAGAAAATAGTGCAAAGCACACATATCTAAAGTGGCAGTGAAACAGAAGTAGCGACGGATCTTTTCTTCTGTATTTGGACCCCATTGTAAAACATGGATAATTAATTCTCAATAAGATCTGTAATTTTAAGTATTAAGAAAAACGTTGCGATGAAGTGAATTTTCATTTCATGCCTTCTTTATACTCCTCTAACCACCTTTTCCAGCAGCGACAACGTTGAAATATTCGCAAACATTATACCTTTGTGTAGCTATGTTAAACATCTGTTCGAATAAGAACTTCAGAGAGGCTTTTACTTCTATGCTTCCAAAAACAGGCTTTGAGAGTTTTTGTTGTTTTTTTTTGTGCAATTTTTGTTTGTATAGTTCATATAACCAGTTCACAATATGTCTTGCAGCTTTATCTGTGGTCAAGGAGATTCAGTTCAGTTGGAAAACACATTTTGACCTGTTTATGTGTTGCTTTTTACATCCTGAATTAGGGGATGTTACTATCAACATGTTTTGAAATGGCCATTTTGTGTATGTTTTTTAAGTAAGGTGAAATTTTAAATAAGCATCTGCTTTATAAATAGTTTAAATTTCATCATTAAAAACAGTAACAACTGTTTGCTGACAAACTTTTTAAAACATTAGCATAATCTAGAATTATTGGAAACCAGGAACCAGGTAATTTTTGGAATTTTGCTGTTTTAGCTTTTGAGTTTTACATAATGTAGAGACGTACAGTAATATTATGAATTATAAACTAGATGAGTAAATGAGTAAAATAAACCATGTGTTTGAGTTGACATTCTCTTGATTTGTGCTTTTAGGTGAAAGTGCAATAATTTTGATGAAATGTAAAAAGAAATTTCTCAAATGACATAAATTAGGGCTGGACAATAATTCAATATCAATATACAGTATATCGCAATATATATATATATATTTTTTTTTTTTCAATAACGGTGATGATTTTTAAACACATTTCCGACATTTCTATATACATTACCAGTGTTTCCCATACATTGATTTATGACAGTTTGACTTAAACATGAGCACTGCACGTTTCAAAATAAAAACACGGCGAGGGTGTTATATATGAATGTATCTCTTAAAGGTGCAATAGGTGATTGTCTTCTGAAACATTTTTTGTTATGCTGGTTGAAAGTCTCTTCACATCCCGATAGCAATCATTAAGTTAAGCGGTCTAAATGTATTTATCTGTATTTATACAAGAAATGTTTGTCCAATCAAAATGCTCGGTCCGAGCGTTTTAATTGGCTTTCCTACCTGCATGTCAACATATGTATTTGCATACCTCTGCGCACCCTGTTCGCACAGACAGGATACGTCATCAGCGCGTTCTCGCACGCTGTGCAGCGAGAATGGCAAACAAACATCAACAACCATCTTCCTTCCTGGTATTGTAATACTTTTACTAACTGTACTATAAAGTTTTCTCACCGGTGAATGACACATGTAGCCCAACGCGGTTCCCAATTCCAGTCCTCGCGCCTCCCCGCTCTGCATATTTTGCATGTCTCGCTTAGTTAACAAACCCGATTCAGATAATTAGCTCGTTAGAAGTGAGCTACGTGCATAAACTGTGTTCCGATTGACATGCTCCCTACACAGTGTTCTTTGCGCCCTACTCCCTGAGCAGGGGAAATCCGTTTGTTTACTTCACTTCGAAATATTCCTTCACAGATTTGCACTGTGCACACAGACGAAACTTACTAGAGAAGTGTGACATAATTACGGATGTAACGATTCACTCAACTCACGATTCGATTCACGGTTTTGATTTCACGATACGATTAAATATTTGTTTTTTTAACAAAATGAGATTTAAAACAAATTATAAATTAAATGTGTCCTTTTATTATTGCTTGGAAAAAATGCTGCACATTTCTTTGTGAAATTGAAATATAACACTATAATAATATACTAATATAGCACTTGCATATTACTCTCTGTAAATAAATACTATTTAATTTTACGTCTCGCACACTTTAATGCCCTTTGTATGGAACATATATGCTCACTTCGAACTGGAATAATGGCGGAATATCCGGTGATGTCCACTTCGCAGGGCACTTACGGTCGAATAGAACAAACGTTGCACGTCGATAAGAGATCAGAGATCAGATCACATCATGCCCATTCAAAGCGAGGCCATGTGGATTTTGAATGCAGCTTCCAATAGACAAAAAATGTTGTCTCGTCAGAAACAACAAAGTGCAACGTGTGTACGAATCTGTAAAATATTAATTTCATACTGTAAACAGCTTCAGTAATTTTAATGGGAGTTTTTGAGAGTGCATGAACTAGACTGTCAGTGAAAATGTTCTTTGATAATGTAAATGTTCTTTGCTCTCTTTCTGTAGTAAACAAAGCAGTGCTGCACTTATGAACTTTAATATGCGTTATACAGAGGCAAGATGAAAAGAAAAAAATACCATCTAAACTTTTCTAAAGACAGTAAGTTCCCCTCAGACATGCATTCATATAAACTCCTACACCTAAATGAATCGCGATTTGTTTAGCATCTCAACCGATTTGAATCGTCACATATTTGAATCGATTTTCAACCGGCTTGCGGTTAATCGTTACATCCCTAGACATAATATATCTCTGTAAATAAATACTATTTAATTTTACGTCT